GTCCCCACCCTATGCTAAGCTCCGGTTACAAACGCACACAGTTGCTGTTTTCATACCATTGTGTAAAATCCATTTTAAAAGCTTAACAAGGATCGTCTGGTTCACACATCTGGCAAAGACAAACACAACATATGGGATCACAAATTAGCCCAGATTTTTTTTTTTATCTCCTACTCTAGAGTGATGTTGAATTACGATCAAAACTTTGGAATTTGATTGTCTATCGGGCATTACGCTTGCATCGTGCCTGCAAGATGATGGGGGGGGGGGAATAACATTGAGAAATTGAAAAAGGATGATTTATTCCAGAGGTTAAGCAATGGCTTTTAGAAATGTATAAGTTATCTGTTTTACAGACATATTCATTAATCGAAGGATGAAGTGTTGTTTTCTTCTTTGGCAAAGAGGTTATATTTTGTACAATAATATTTTGTATCTGATTATACCATAGTACGATGTGGCATTTATTAGTAAATCGGTGACTATCTGCAGTTTTAATACCCTGTTTCCCCCCAAATAAGACATCCCCTGATAATAAGCCCAATCAGGCTTTTGAGCACATGGCAATAAGGCCAAGTGCTTATTTCAGGGTACAAAAAAAATATAAGATAGGGTCTTATTTTCGGGAAAACACAGTACATAGGGAACTTCGTTGTTGGTTTTTTTAGTTTGTCATTCTTACCTTCTCATCTTTTTTTTTTTCCTGGTTTTTAATCATTGTTTTCTAAAGTTCAGGGTTTAGAACATGGAACATCGAATAATAAAAGTGCCTTGGTGGCGCAGCGGACTAAAGTGCTGTTAAGTAGCACTTAGCTGCCAGCTGCCTGCAAGAGCCTTGGTAGTACAGGGGTTTAAGGCACCCTGTTATTAAGCTGGTTATTAAGACCAGCTGCCTGCAATTACTGCAGGGTTCGAATCTCGCCAAGGCTCAAGGTTGACTCAGCCTTCCATCCTTTCTAAGGTAGGTAAATTGAGGACCCAGTTGTGGGGGGCAATAAGCTGACTTTGTATAAATATACAAAAGGATGAAGGCTATTGCTGAGCACATTGTAAGCCGCCCTGAGTCTTCGGAGAAGGGCGGCATATAAATCAAATTTTAAAAAAAATAAAAATTACTGCAAGTTCAAATCTCACCAGGCTCAAGGTTGACTCAGCCTTCCATCCTTCCAAGGTAGGTAAAATGAGGACCCGGATTGTGGGGGCAATAAGCTGACTTTGTATAAAATAGAACACCGCTTATGGGGACCGAAAGCCCTACTAAGCAGGTATATACCAAAAAAAGTATGAAGGCTATTGCTTATCGCATTGTAAGCTGCCCTGAGTCTCCGGAGAAGGGCGGCATATAAATCGAACCAATGCATGAATGGCTTAACATTCTTTGGGCTGGCTTAACAAATTCTTTTAATAATTTTAATTGGTTTTGTCTTTTTAAATTTGGGGCCAAACAGAGATATTTCTTTTAATTGTTTTTAATGTTTGTATTATATGTTTTTATCTGGCTGTACACCGCCCTGAGTCCTCAGGGAGAAGGGCGGTATATAAATTTGAAATAAAATAAAAATAAATAAAAATAAAATGAATGAATGAATGAATGAATGAATGAATGAATGAATGAATGAATGAATGATAGAGTTGGAAGGGACCTTGGAGGTCTTCTAGTCCAACCCCACTGCTCGAGCAGGAGTTCCTTTAGTTTAACTTCCATTGTTTAGTTCGTCATTTGTTTTTCCCCCATTTTTTCCCCCCTAAAATAAAGACTAATAGAAGGGATTTGCTTGATAAAACCTACACGCACACCCAAAAAACCTTAAAGGGATATATATATATGTTATCAGGGCAGGTTCTGCCATTAAAGAGAACATCAATCGATGATATCATAAATTAGTAGCAAAGAATATATATTTTTTCCAGAAAAGGCAATATCTTCTTTAAGCCAAGTTAGCCTCTTTCCTGTGCTTTTCTTGACAACAATACAAAAAAAAAAACAAAAAAAAAACACGGATTGGTAGTGCTGTTTTCTAGACTGATTCTTCAGTTTTTCATTTTGCTTATCGCTCTGGACTTTCTTCATGGTCTTCCTTCTAAGTGCCTCACCAGGTTGGACCCTACTTAGCATCTCCACAATCAGCCAAGGCTGGTTAGCTGCTGCCATCTACTGTGATACTCTTGTTAGTCATTTTGTCCTTGTAATTTTAATGTCTTTTTTGGTTTTTGTCGTGGTTTATCTCACATGCCGAAATAACGTAGCTTAGGGGTGTCAAACTCGATTTCATGGAGGGCCTCATCAGGGTTGTGTTTGACTTTGGGGGGGGGCAGGGTGGGTGCAGCCAGTTCGATATCACTCGTGTCTGGGGCACCTATGGTGGCCCAAGTGCTGTGCAGTGGTTCTATCCGGTTTGGGCGAATCGGTAGCGGTGGCTGCAGAAGTCTCCGCCCACCTGCCCGGACATTATCACATCCTGTTTTTAATGCTCTGGGCATGCGCGGAAGGATCTATGCATACACACGTGCTCACATTTGCAAACTGGTAGCAAAGGAAGTGAATACTACCCCTGGTGCTGTGCCAGCGAAAACGGGCTCCCGAGCTCCATTTTCAGCTGCGATGGGTTCCTGCAACCTTCTGTCAGTGAAAAAAGAGCCCGGGACCCCTCCTGTCCTGAGCTCCGTTTTCGCTGGCACTGTGGGCCGGTTCTTTGTTTTTTCTAGGGCAGCCCCACAGACCAGATCTGGTCCTTGGGCCGTGAGTTTGACACCCTGATGTAGCTGATCTTGGCGGCCGTTGGGTACCGCTTTGATTTAGAAAGGCAGACGGGAGTGTTAGCTGCTCCTGTTTTTGAAAACACACAGAGAGAGAGAGAGAGAGAGAAAGAGAGAGAGAGAGAGAGAGAGAGAGATTGATTCTGGGTCAGCCCAACTTCGCACTCAGATTTAATCTGACTCTTGTTTGACGGGAGGATTTGGGTGATGTTATTTTTTCCTAGGGCCAATAATACTCTGTTGAGAATCGCAAAGCTCCCGTCTCCCGGTGGCCTTTGTGCCTTGTGAGTTAACGTCGAAAGGGATGTTAATCCCGCCTTTTGCACAATGCAGCGCCTCGTCCTCCGCTGACGGTTTTTTTAGAGCGCTTTGAAGGAACAGTTCTACCTTGTGGACAAAATAAGTCACTTGAACAAAAGGATTGCCTGGCAACGGGGCAGATTTGGCTGCGATGTCCATGTAAATAAGTCAGCGGCGTTTCCAATACCTCCACACTCTGCCAGATCTACTTCTTCTTCAAGAGCAGGAGATCTCTCGGAGAAGAGACTTGCCAGTTCTGATAGTTGGCAGTGGGAAAGCTAGCCGTCTTGTCCATACATCCCTGTGAGGCAAGAGGTCATTTGTACCGTGGACTAGTTCTTGAAAACCATCATCTCTTGGGCATCTGTTAAGCATCATGAGATTCTGCCAGTGCATTGTTGTTTTAAAAAAGGTTGTCGATTGGATAGACTTATTTATTTAATTTGTCAGACATGTACTAAATAACAGGTATAAGTATAAACATAGACGTGAACAAGGAATGAGTACAAAGAAATGGGGACAGTAGGACAGGGACGGTAGACAGGCTGGTGCGCTTATGCACGCCCCCTTTACGGACCTCTTAGGAATGGGGTGAGATCCACCGTAGACAGTTTGAGGTTGAAGCTGTGGGGGTTTGAGGATGTAACAACGGAGTCGGGAAGAGTATTCCAGGCATTGCAGGGGTGAAATCCAGCAGGTTCTAACAGGTTCTGGAGAACCGGTAGCGGAAATTTTGAGCAGTTCGGAGAACCGGCAAATACCAACTCTGGCTGGCCCCAGAGTGGGGTGGGAATGGAGATTTTGCAGTATCCTTCCCCCAGGAGTGGGGAGGGAATGGGGATTTTGCAGTATCCTTCTCCTGAAGTGGGGAGGGAATGGGGATTTTGCAGTATTCTTCCCCTGCCATGCCCACCAAGCCACGCTCACCAAACAACACCACACCCACCAAGCCACGCCAACAGAACTGGTAGTAAAAAAAATTGGATTTCACCACTGAGGCATTGACCACTCTGTTGCTGAAGTCGTATTTCCTGCATTCGAGTTTGGAGCGGTTTACCTTAAGTTTGTTATCCATTGCGTGCTCGTGTATTGTTGTGGTTGAAGCTGAAGTAGTCATTGACAGGTAGAACATTGTAGCCAATAATTTTGTGTACTACGCTTAGGTCAGACCGAAGGCGGCGTAGGTCTAAGTTGTCCAAGCCCAAAATTTCAAGCCTGGTGACATAAGGGATTCTGTTGTGAGCGGAGGAGTTTAAAAGAAGGCTGTCGATTGGATAGACTTATTCTTGAAGCGGAGCTGCTACTTCAGAAGATGGTGTGGCAGTTGGAGAGATGAACTGGATTTGGAGTTTTTAGATTGTCCCCTGGAGTCAGGAAGCTCCCTGGGTGAGATCAAGCCAATAATTCTCTGGCTTCCTGGCTGGTTGGGTGGTCTATCTTGAGAAGTCTATGAGCTGAGGTGGCGCAGTGTTTAGAGTGCAGTATTGCAGCTACTTCAGCTGACTGCTAGTTCAGCAGATCAGCGGATCAAATCTCACCGGCTCAAGGTTGACTCAGCCTTCCATCCTTCCGAGGTGGGTAAAATGAGGACCCAGATTGTTGGGGGCAATATGTTATTTAGTATACTGTCTTTGGTGTAAGCCACCCAGAGTCCTCGGAGAGTGGGCAGCATAGAAATATGACTAATAAATAAATAAATAAATAAATAAATAAATAAATCCTAAGAAGATAACGGAGTCAACATTTCCATATTGTTGGCAGTGAACTTTCCAATCCTGACTTCTCCTTCTAGGATCTTTTTTTTTTTTTTTTTTTAGAACTTTTTGCTTGGAGGGTTAGGGTGGCTCTCCTGTGTCTTTGGTCCCATGAATCTATCACGACAAGGAGGTATTCTGGAAAATGATTGCATCTCTGGGGCTTACTGGTTAATCCTCTTCTTCTAGATCTTCCATATGACCTACGACCTGGCCAGTGCCGTGGTACGGATCGTCAACTTGATTGGCATGATGCTGTTGTTGTGCCATTGGGATGGCTGCCTCCAGTTCCTGGTGCCCATGCTCCAAGAATTTCCAGGGGACTGTTGGGTTTCGCTGAATCGTATGGTGGTAAGTTGATGAAACAGACCGACCAGTTTTGGTACTGGTGAACCACCGTTGAGTAGAGCTGCAGTGTTCCCTGATTTCTCTCTAAGGAGGTGGGGGTGTTCTCTAGTCCATCAGCCACCTCCTTATCCCTTGACGAGTGCAAAAAACAGAATGTTCCACCCATTGTAATTTCATGCACACCCCAGCAAGAAAAATCAATCTAAATTTATAACCTCTATTAAAGGGGGGGGGATCTAGACTAGGGCATGATTGCAGCCTAAAAATAGTTCGTTTAGTGGAGGAAAATGACTTCCTGAATGGCTGGATTTGTGGTTTTATGAGAGGCTCAAGAAGAAATGTTTTAAGGAGTTATTATTGTGACCATCATATTTTCCTGTAATATGTGAGAGAAAGTGTCCATAATGTAGATGTTGCTTCAGGGCATCTGCAATCAGGAAATGATCTTAGTCCCATTTAGAAATGAAGGAAGGAAGGAAGGAAGGAGGGAGGGAGGGAGGAAGGAAGGAAGGAAGGAAGGAAGGAAGGAAGGAAGGAAGGAAGGAAGGAAGGAAGGAAGGAAGGAGGGAGGGAGGGAGGGAGAGAGGAAGGAAGGAAGGAAGGAAGGAAGGAAGGAATGAAGGAAGGAAGGAAGGAAGGAAGGGATTAAGGAATGGATCAATGAATGACTGGATCAATGAATATCAATGTATCAGGAGAGAGGATAAATAAATTACGTTCCTTCCCTCTCTCCTTACCTTCAAAGTTCTTCATATTTTGTGAATGAATCCTTTCGGTAGAATTCAGACATCAGAGGCTGGGAAGCTATGACATTCAAAGCATGTAGTATGACAGTTTCCGGCAGCTTCCACCCATCACGGTGAATGGTTAGCGATCCGAAAGGACTACAGATCCAGTTTAGGGAGCCATTTTGGGAAGGGAGGAAAAATCCCTTTTAGGATTTAGTTTAGGGAGGAAAGAGCCTTGGTGGCACAGCAGACTAAAGTGCTGTTAAGTAACACCAGCTGCCTGCAATTACTGCAGGGTTCGAATCTCGCCAAGGCTCAAGGTTGACTCAGCCTTCCATCCTTTCTAAGGTGGGTAAATTGAGGACCCAGTTTGTGGGGGCAATAAGCTGACTTTGTATAAATATACAAAAGTATGAAGGCTATTGCTTAACGCATTGTAAGCCGCCCTGAGTCTCCGGAGAAGGGCGGCATATAAATCAATTTTTTTTAAAAATGTTGAATTAGTTAGCAACTGCTTTGTGCTTGAGATGGGCCCCCCAAAGTCTGGCCTGGTCAAGTCTGCTCTGCTCCAGGTAGACTAAGAAGCCGAGTTGAGGTGGAGCTAGAAGCAGCTGTCTGCTTTGATGATCTGGTCCCAAATCGATGGAAGGAGAAGTAGAGATAGGGGTTGGAGTCAAGAGAGGAACCAGTTTGGAGTCATTACATGTCCACAAGCAATCCAAGTTCAGCCCTCTTTTTATTCCATTAACAATGGTTACAGATTCAGCAGTTCCACGCTGGATGTTATTTGTTCATTTCAGTAAAATTAGTTTGAAATTTCAGAACCTCACTGTTGGCTGTTCTCTTGACTTGGCCCATTTTGGGGGGAGTTCAGCTTCCGAGCACACAGGCTACTCTTCATTCTGAGAACATTTCCTACCTGACTTTTCAAGGACATTAAAAAAATGTTGACCGGAAGGAGCAGTTTAGAAGAAGCTTGGCAAACAAAGCAGTTGATTGCTTTCCCGCTTAGCTAAACTTTGGATTTTGGGCCACATCGAAGTCCACACCGTAACTAGAAGTGACATTTGTCTTTTCGGGATAACATCCTGAAGATCAGAAATGGTGACTCCAGGCAGCTTATAGAAGTATAAAATCCCAAATACAAAACCCAATATATCATCACCCCCACCAGGGACAACAATTAGTGAAATTACTTGATGTGCTCCATATCACCTTGAGGTTCTCAGACCTGCTGGCAATTCCATGTCTTGAGGGCCTTTCAAAAGAGTATCAAGGTGGAAGCTGGTTTATCTCTGCAGGGATGATGTTCCACAGGAAGGAAGGTCCTTCTTCTTGGTCCCACTAGGGGACCAAGGGGACTCCAAACCTGGCAGCTTTAAGACCTATGGACTTGAACTCCCAGAATTCCTCAATGGCTGGCTGAGAAATTCTGGGAGTTGGTCCACAATCCTTAAAGTTGCCAAGTATGGAGACCCTTGCACTAGATGGATCTTCTTAATGATCTGTAGCTTACTCTGCCTTCTAGCAATAGCACTTAGACTTATATACCGCTTTACAGTGCTTTCCAGCCATCTCTAAGTGGTTTATAGAGTCAGCCTCTTGCCCCCAGTAATTTGGGTCCTAATTTTACCCATCTTGGAAGGATGGAGTCAACCTTGAGCCGGTCAGGATCAAACTCCTGGCAGTGAGCTGAATTAGTCTGCAATACTGCATTCTAACCACTGCGCCATCACCCTTCCTTCCTTCCTTCCTTCCTTCCTTCCTTCCTTCCTTCCTTCCTTCCTTCCTTCCTTCCTTCCTTCCTCCCTCCCTTCCTTCCTCCCTCCCTCCCTCCCTCCCTCCCTCTCTCCCTCCCTTTCCCAATAGCACTTAGACTTATATACCACTTCACAGTGCTTTTACAGCTGTCTCTAAGTGGTTTACAGAGTCAGCCTCTTGCCCCCAACAATCTGGGTCCTCATTTTACCCACCTGGGAAGGATGGAAGGCTGAGTCAACTGCCAAATTGCAGGCAGCCGGCAGTCAGCAGAAGTAGCCTGCAGTACTGCACTCTAACCACTGTGCCACCGAGGCTCTTATCAAACAATTACCATTGTTTTGGTCCTACATGTGCCTCTTTTTACATCAGGGGTGTCAAACTCAAGTCCCAGGGGCCAAATCCGGCCCATGAGGTGGTTAGATCTGGCACGTGGGGCCACCCTAGAAATAGCAAAGGACTGGCCCGCGGTACCTCTGCCAGCAAAAATGGCCCGCGGCCCTCCTGAGCTCCGTTTTTGCTTGGAGAGGGTTGCAGGAGGCCACCACAGCTGAAAACTGACATCGGGAGTCCGTTTTCACTGGCAGAGAGCTCGGGCCACCACAGGCGCCCCCAACCAGAGTGATGTTGAACTGGCCACACCCACCCTGGCCCCCTGAGGTCAAACACAATCCTGACGCGGCCCTCAATGAAATCGAGTTTGACACCCCTGTTTTATACGCATATCGTATGCCGGCTTGCAGTCTCCTTTGTCTTCGTTCCTGCCGATTGCATTTCCTTTCATTTGCGTGTGTGTGAGTGCACGTGCACGCGAGGGCGTGTGTACATATACAAGGAGCCACTCTATCTCCATTCTCCAAAGCGAAGAGCGGTTTCTTCCCTCTCCCACCCTCACCGAAGTAGTCGCATGGGCACCCAGCCAAAATAGCATTTGCCACCTCACCTTCTGGAGAAGCAGCGGTACAGATGTGTCATCATGCCTCAGGAACAATCTGTTTATTAAAAGAGGGATCTATTTTTGAAGTGCCATACCGCTCTCCACAACTCCCCATGTGGATGCTGTAACAGAACAGGTAACAACAGAAGGCAGACTTTTGCAAACAGGTATGGTTGCAGGCAGTGGTGGGTTCCTCCCGGTTTGGCCCGGTTCGGCCGAGCCGGTAGCAGTGACGATATGACGTCACCGAACCGGTTCTCTTTGTTCGGGAGCTGGGACCTCCCACCCCCACGTTATTCTTACCTTTTATTTGGTCCCACCCCCAATCTATTGCTGCCTCCCGAGTCCCAGCTGATTGGCTAGAAGGAAAAAAAACTGTTTAAACTTTTGCCGTGGGGCTTCAAAGGGCCACCCTATAGCTGATCAGTGTTAAAAGGGAGTGTGGTGGTAGACCGGTGCCTCCAAGAACAAATGGGTAGACCGGTACAACTCTGCAAGCAGTTAAAAGCCAGTAGACCAGTACCTCTGCTAAATCCTAAAGAATTGTCACATGACCATCAAACCACGCCCACAAAATAAGCCACGCCCACAGAACCGGTAGTAAAAAAAATTAGAACCCACCCCTGCCTTCCCAGCATGGGCATGTGCACTGGGACGTCATTGTTCCATTTTCTGACGCTCCTGAGTGTGTGAAGACCAGTTGGCCAGCACACCAGAAACCGGAAGAGCAACGAGCGATGGCTCACAAGCCCAGAGAGATAACTCTGCGTGCCATTTCTGGCACATGTGCCATAGGTTCGCCATCACGGTCCTAGAGGTCGATTCCTGCTTTGCAAATTTGTTAAGAGGAGAGGAGAGGAAGGAACGTGGCTCGTCCGAAGCTCAAAGAAGGAGAGGGGAAACCTAAAAATAGAAGCTCCAAAAAAGTAGAACAAATGAAATCCAGAATGATGGATCCCGCACAGCCAGTTCGAGGAACACGGTCTCAGCTGCTTCTAAGTCATGAATGAAAGAAGGAAGGTGTGATTCTGAGGCTGGGCGGAATTTTATTTATTTATTTACTTATTTATATTCGGATCAGAGTGGCACATAGGTGAATTTTTGGAGGGGGTTGAAGATACTTTAGGCTTTGGAAAGGAGGGGTCTGTCGTGGGTTCCTCTCCATGAAGATGTCTCCTTAGATGTTTAAGGCATGTTTCTTCTCTGGCTTCAGATGGCTTGAAAGTTTTGGATCCTCAGTTTAAGATAACGTGTACATCTAAACTTACTTGAAAGGATTTTCATGGTGGTAGAGAAGGTGCCTTGGATCATGCCGAGATTACATGTTGTTTCACGTCTGTCTATCAGGACATCTTTGTGTTTGCTAAGACTACATTCAAAAGCCTCCCGTATTTCTCCATTCTAGAACAGTCTTTCTCATCTTCGATAACTTTAAGATGTGTGGACTGCAACTCCCCAGACGTCTTGTGTGTGGAGCTGACGTTCACACAATTTAAGGTTATTATGGTTCAGATAGATGGAGGTGGGAGTCAAACTCAAGGTCTGGGGGCCAGATCCGGCCAGCGGGGTCCTTAGATCTGGCTCACAGGGCCGCCCTGGAAATAGGAAAGGACCGACCCGTGGTGCCTTTGCCAGCGAAAACGGAGCAGAACGCAGGGGCCATCACAGGTGCCCAATGACACGAGTGATGTCATGCTGGCCACACCCACTCTGGCCACGCCCTCCAAGGTTAAACACAACCCCGATGCAGCCCTCAATGAAATTGAGTTTGACTGAGATAGTCCGATCGAGATATAGATACTTCGGGAAAAAAATGCAAGCCCAAATTCCAAGAGAACTTTCACCAGTCTAGGACAATATTCCAAGCAACACAATAGCTTCCTTCCCACATTTCAGACTAGTGGCATCCATGGGAGTGGAAGTCTCGCCCTTTCCCCCCCCCCCAAAAAAGGACAAAACTTTGATTGTGCTGTTGTGAGCGCCATTGTGTCTTTTTGGACCCCACCCACCCACCCACATGGACACCACTGCTCCAAACAGATGCTAGTCAAGTGCATTTTGAGAAATTAGAAAGAGAACTGGTTGCAATTGCCTCTTCTGACTTGAGGTTCTCACCAGCCAACCCCTGGTGCGTTCAAGCTTGGAAGTAGCAAGGTATGGCTACCTGGTGTTGTGGCCCGCCAGCGGCCAGCAGAGCTGACAGCATAGTCGGATAGTGAGGAGGTTGGGGAGGAACCTGGGCCAGTCCTGGGGGCTGGGGAAAGCTCGGACAAAGGCTCTGCATCGGAGGCAGAGAAGGAGATAGACAGCAGCTAGGCAGAGGAGTAGCTGGAGCCCATTCCCAGTCTGCACATGCGCAGAGCTGCCAGAAGACAAGCACAACTCAGAAAGCAGGGTCGACTCAGGAGTAAAGCCACACCTTGGAGGTGATTGGCCCCTCCCATAGGACATAAAAGAGGAGCAAACAGGGAGTGGGCTTTTGCAGGAAACAATTCATTCATTCCGTGACTCTGAGAGACTCTGTGCCAAGTTTGGCCTTGTACTGCATTTGGAAACTAGTTACGTGGCAGCTTGCCAAGCGAGATAAGGTCTGTGTTGATAAATATTCCTTTGAAAAACTGTTTGGACAGGCCTTGCTGACTGTGAATGCTTGTTAAGGGAGCCTACGTCAGAACACCTGGTGGACATTTGACCCTCGCTGACCCTTCAGAGTTGATGGGAGTGGTGGTGGGGCACCGAGCGCAGGGAAGGTAGTCCCACCTCATCCAAGTGTGTCCATCTCATGTTGTGTAACTCTCGTCTGTCTGTCTCTTTAGAATGACTCCTGGGGGAAGCAATACTCGTATGCGCTATTCAAGGCTATGAGTCACATGCTATGTATCGGCTACGGACAGCAGGCCCCAGTGGGCATGTCTGACGTGTGGCTCACAATGTTAAGCATGATCGTTGGCGCCACGTGCTATGCCATGTTCATCGGCCACGCCACGGCCCTTATCCAGTCTCTGGATTCCTCACGGCGACAGTATCAGGAGAAGGTAAGTGGCATCTAAGGTGGCTTTGGTGAGAAGGATCAGCAGACAGATTACTCTAGGATCCAGGCGCCGCTGAGAAACGGTCCAGGGAATGGATCCTTCTCATCAGCTGTCCCTTCTTTTTTTCACCCCAAGAACGAATAGATAAGGGAGCCTTCTGAAGCCCTTTCCAAGATAGCATGGAACAAACAGATGGGATAACCCTAGTTAAGAACAGCATAGAAATATAGCCACAACCCCATCCCACGAATAAAGGCTGCCATCTGTTTATTTATTTTTT